CCAAACACACTAACTGGCAGCTACAAAAAAAAGGAAACCTTTGAAATGCAGAACGAAAGAAGTCATTCAGGCCGCAAACTGATAATTCATACACTTTATATCCTGCTCTGTATTTTTCTTTGCGTTGAATGGAATGGCCAAGTAAAACATAGTTGTCAGGTTTTCTTATTTCATTTTTTAAAGATTTTCTTTAGCATTGCTTTTCTCCTCAAGAAAAAGACAAAAGCCACGACAGCAGGAATAGGCAGTGGATTCTGAGGATATCCTTATATTTTGCTTACCTATCACTTGGATAGTAAGGGCATACAGAGAAAATGCTAACAGGTTGCTGTACTCTGCTCTGAAATTTGTTGCCCTACATAACTGAGAAAATGACTTCTGAAGAGGATATGAGTCTGGAGTCCCTGGATCTAACGCATGCTCTTTATCACTTTTGCATTTTGTTTTCAGTGGGTTTTGAACCTGGCTTGTGGTGGAATGGTACCTGAATATTATATCAACTCCATCCTCTCTGAATCCATGATATAGATTTAAGATGGATACCGACCCTGGCCTGGCTCCAGCAAACTCCTTCTGGATTAGATTTTCTAACACCTTCTGCCAAAACCAAATATATTGCCCTTAGCTTCCTCATCCCAAAAGGAAAAGGTAGACTTCCTGCCTCCATCTCCTTGGTGCTCTCTGTGCCAAACTGAGGAAAATCCATAGCTTCGGGCGCGTGTTGCAAGTGTTTATGGGGGGTGTTGTGTTTATGGGGCGCTGTGGCCAAGTGAGCCTTCACTGGTAACAGCAGAGCTCATGATCACGCACCTCAGGATCAGGGTCATGGTAATTAGCAGGCTGTTGTGAAGGCACAGCTGAAACAGTAACAGTAAAAGCAACAGAAAAAAATGATATTAAAAAAGCACCAAATAAACACCTGCTTCCATCTACAGAGAAGCAGTGTTCTTTCATCTTGATTAAAGATCCTGCTCAATGTGATCTGGGCTTTACGGGCTCCAGAGAGAACTACCTTGATCTGGATTTGACAGCATTGGAGATCGAGCACCCTTATAGAGGCCCTTGCTTCTCAGCTGTCCCCCAGGTATGCTTCCTGCAGTCTCTGTCAGTATCCAGTACCATGGCAAGATCTTGGGTTTAATGTGTGAAGTGTTAGTGAATTATTCACCAGGCAGTTCAAGGTCTTTGTCTCCACTTCTGATCCTTTCAGAGTGCTCTGTAAAGTGCAATGCTAAGTAAATGTAGGCAAAGACTGGGCATGTATTTACAAGGCATTGAGTATCCTGCCTATGTACCTTACAACCATGCAAACTGATCATTTCTCCCAGTCCTTTACTTCCTTAGATTTCTGGTCCAGGACTCACTGGTTTCTTTCTTGCTTTGTTTCTAAACAGCATGGGCTTGTTAAAAGGACCAGGCTCAAGGTGTGCTTCTGTCAGAAAGCAGATCATCTGGATCAGCCTGAACTCCTTTTCCTTATTACCTCTTCTTACTTTTATCATGCCTTAGTATTTCCTTGGAGGGTGTGGTAGCCAATAAGTGCTTGTTTTTTTCCTCTCCATTTGGCACGTGATTTTTTTTTTTCCTTCACCTTCAGCTCCTAACTTGCTCTTCTCCAGCTCGTCATCTGCTGTTATCCAATTGCACATGTAATGTAGCTAAAATCACAGTAATATATCATGCCTGTGTATTGTTTATTACCTCCTCAGAGTATTCATGAAGGAACTGTGAGTTGAGGAGAATTCTGGAAGAATGAAAATTGTTGGTAGGTCACAGAAAAGGGTTTGACAGAAAGAACACATCCTTCTGGTATCCAGCTGATAGGTTTTGGTTCCTCAGAAGTCAAGATTATTGCTCGTAAAAGAAACTGTAGCATTTTAAGTTGCATTAAAAGATGCAAATTGTTAGATCTAAGTATTAGATAATGAGAGATCACAAATTGAATAGCCCAGGTAAAAAAAAATGTGGAGCAACTGGAAATCACTTTCCTCTTCAGGAAGATAGCAATATATGAAGATGTTGCATAGCGAACTGTAAAGCCATAGGTTTAAATAAATGAGTCTTTTCATATTATTATTACAATTACATTTTGAGACTTCAGAAAAAATGTTTATTTTATTGGCCCACTCTATAGGGCATCATATTCTTTTTTTGTGTCCATTCAAAACAAAATTTCACAGCCACTTAAAACCTGCTGTATAAGTTAAGCTTTCTCTTACACATCTACTTCAGAGCAAGTAGTACCTCTGTTTCAAATGAGTTGAAGAGTTTCATCTTCTCTTTCCAACCTCTGTGGGAAACTTTACATGTTTCCTCAGATTAGACGAGTTCCAACCATTTTCTTTTCTGGGAAGACTTGACCTCTGAGTGGTGGTCTCTGAGCGTGAAATAGTTGAGCCTCGTGCAAATGTCACCACCTCTTTCCTTTGAAACACACAGAGAAGCAAAGGTTATCCCTTGATTTGGTCATTAGGTCACTTGTGCCAGATGGGGAAAACCTGAGTGCAGATTTCAGCTCTTGTTTTGCTAGATTGGAGAACTCAAGAGATAAGCTCCATGTGTGGAAAAAATGCACCGCTTCTTACTTCTCTTTGTTTCCTTTTCCATGCCTAGGTGTTCTCCTGCTCATGGTTTTGTATTTTGTTAGGTCTGTTTAGAGTTGTAAATGCAGCAGGTGTGTGTGCAAAAGGAGAACATCCACTTGAAGGCTGTGGGGGCCAGGTATCTAAATCCTGGTGTGAATCTCATGCAACCATGATATAAATCAAAGCTTCAACGTCCAAAATGAAAAATTACTAGGTGTGATGAAGTTACACCTTAAATCACCAGCATAGTTAGGCTAGATAAGTGCATTAAATGTTGAGCTTTAAGTCCCAGATGCACAAAAGGAACTGCTTTTGCAAAGTGAATTTCTTTCCCTTATCCAACATGTTCAAGCCGTTTCTTCTGCCATAAAACTCCTGGCCTCTTGTGCCAATAAATGAGATTAATCTTCTAAAATTTTAGCATATTACCTGCAACATTACAACATTAAAAACAAATAAACAAACAAACCTTATACTTCTTTGTTTTCAGACTTTACAGGTACAGGGTTCACTAAGAAGTCATCTCTTTCCTTTAAAAGAAGACAACCGTATAGAATAATAGAATACTCTGTCTTGCATACAGACCCATCTGGAAAAAATTTAGTCTGTAATAATCATGGGCATTTGATTTAACTCTAAATCCCCACAGGTAATTCAAACATAAATTTATTGGGGTGAATTTATCCCCCAACTGATCCAATGAGGTTAGAGATGAACTTGGCCCACTGCACTTAAACTAGAGTATGTAGTCCTTCCTTTGCATCCGAATATTGTGGGAATGCCTGTCATTATAGGCAGACCCTTACTAGAAATGCAGTCAATAGAGACAATACAGGCAATCACCCGAATTACAGTTATTTTTCAGACCTTTAGAGATTAGTAATTACTTGGTTCTGAATATATAGACCGGTATCTAAATCAATTAGAAAACACTGGTCTGATTTGTTATTTGTTAATTCTGCATTCATTTGAGATAGTCTGTTTAGTTCAGTAAAATTCGTTGCACTTCACATTGTACTGAAAAAAAAATAAAATCAAGAGGCATTGGGTACATAATGTAAACAATACCATCTGTCTTTTTCTTTGTAAAGTCTTCTTTGAGATAGCCCCGATATGCCTACTGTTTTCAATCACTTAAAAGGCAGTAATTTAATTATATCATCCTCCATGTAGGAACTGCCATTGCTTTCAGTCCCCTTCCAGTCCTGACACAAGTAAATCATTTTGATAAGATCCACTTTTTATTTATATTTTTTTCCGAGGAGACTAGCATAAGTAATGATACCAGTGATAGACCAAGGACAAAATGACTGTAATGGGCTTTTTGCAGGAGAGGAAAACATGTGCCGTTGTGATTTACCCTGTTACTTAGAAATTGTTTTTTCTTGGAATTTCTGCAACAGCCACTCTCTCATAGCAAAGGGCATTAAGAAATGTGAACACATAAACGGTGAGCCTGACAGAATCTTCATGGAGCTGCAGTTTTAAGCAGCTGTCACTGCTTAAATTTCTTAAATGGGAACAGAAGTCAGACACGTTTTGAAAATGTGCCTAGGTTAGATTCATCTTTGGTAGAATGCCACCTACTTACACGGAAACACGCTGGGTATGTGGTTGGATCTTCCCTACAGACTGCTATGGCTTATCAGGCAGATATGCCTTCCTTCTATTTAAAAAATTGTGTGGGTGAATTCAGTGCGTTGTGCCATTGGCAAGGCATGAGCCTGGCAGACACTTCTACCCTCCCAGAATAGATGCTGCACGAGATCTGTAGTGTCTGCAGACTTCCTGCTGCAAATTGGCCTGAGCCCTGGTGTGGAGAGGACATGTTAAGAGGTTAGCTGTCTCTGGATAGATCATTCTCGTGCCCCTAATTTCAGGAAAACAGAGGATGCCAGATGAAGTGGCTACATGTGTCACAAAAATTTGTTTGAAAGGAACTGAGTCGTGTGTCTGAACATGGACTGGTCACTGAGCATTAACAGCTCCAGGCCACAGGTTTTATTGCTTGCATTGTCACACTGGTAAGGAGTTCTGGTCTTGTATTTGCTGTCTGAGACCTTCCTCAGGTACTGTAGCAAGAAATTAACACTAGTTTGGCCGCTGAAGAAGCAGCACCATGCACTAAGAGGTGATCACCAATGTTAAAACACCACAGGCCAAGTATGGTGTTTCCAGCAACGTGCTGTGAGGTAACCTTTTTGGTAAATTCATTTGGAGAGCTTGTGTGAGAAAGGTGTGATTTGGGCAGGAAAAAGGCAGCATGTTCACTGTTTTTAACCCAACTACTTATTTTCATATTCCAAGGGTTAAACTGCTGCTGCCAAACAGAGGCTGACGACTTGGTTTATCCTGTGAAACAGATAAGAAGCTGTTTAGGATGTTATTGATGTAGTATGTTGTTTCCTTTCACAGAGAAAGTGTGGAGAGCCTTATCCAAAAGCATTCCTATGCCCGATCCCCGATTCGAACCTATGGTGGAGAAGATGATCTGGGAGATGACAGCCAGGCAACGCAAAGCAGAGGTAGGAAAATCTGCTCGTGAGGTAAACTGTGCTTAAGAAAAGCAGGATCACGGCCAGTGCTGTGGTACTCTGAAGCATTTCTCTGGTGTCTGTCTCTGCTACAAATCCACAAAGAAGAATACTTATTCCTATATTGCTCTGTTGGACATTTGATATGCCTATGGATTGCAGTGGGTGGCTCACTAAGGAGACAGCTCTAGAAATGCATGTATATCTAAACTGCCATCAGAAGAAAATTACTGCTGTTTCCATTTCAAGACAGCTGAAAAACAGACAACTTCATTGCTGTGGTGCTGAGTGCAATCTCAGATAACCACCCTTTTGTAGAACTTAGAAGCTGTGGCTCAGCATCAGCTGTAAAGTGCCATGCAGATGTGCACTTTGCTGCTAGCAAAGGAATTGGTTCAGATCACATTCAACCAGCCTGTGGTTAGCTTGCTTTGCTTCTACAGGGAGAGAAGTCCATAGCTGCCTGGTGAACTGACATTTAATTATTTGTCTAGTAATTTCTAAAATGTGTCCTTACTACTTGGGCATTTCACCTCAAGTACTTCAGGTTTGTCTGCTTTAGCAGTCACAAAAGTAGTAGCAACACGAAATTGTTCTTTGTGGGGTTACTTTGTGGGGACAAATCGCATCTGCCATAATTTGCCACTGGAAATAGATCCATACTGCTGACTAGCATAAACTTGTGCTACAGTGTGCTTTGCATGTTGACTTTGTGACCTGTCTGATATGCAACAGCCACTTGAGGTAAGGCAGTTCTATTTGCCTTCTGACTGGCAGTGCCCTTGTCTTGTCCTCTAACTTCATACAGCGTTGCTAAGATAAGAACATTATTTCTGGGCATAAACTATTTAGACTTGTGCAGGGAAAACACACTTATTTTTAACTACAACTCGCTCTTCAACAAAATGTGATTAGTTGGGTGTTCACACACATCTATTCTGAGAGCAGTTCCATAGATTATGGAGTTCCTAGAGTAACTCCTTAGCTGGTACGATGCCATCCTTGCAAATTCTTCTGGGGGACTACCTTGTGTTATGTCTCCTTAGATCCTAGGACACTTATTGTTGAAAACAGCATACATTTTTCACTTGACAAAAGTGCAGAGCAAGGCACCTTCCCTCCAAGATCTATGTTTCTCCCCGGGCTGATGTATTTCTTTCAGACTGAAAGAAGAGTGAGAAAGGTGAGTATTAGAGTGAGTGCTGGCAGTCAGAGCCATTCTGAAGAGAATGGTGAAGGAAGGTGTAACAGGAGGATAGAACAAGTTATTAAAATTTATTTTTTGTAAAATATATGCAGGGCACACTTCTGCATTTGCTTGCAACAGGACATTTATGTGAGGAAGATGACGAGTTATGGCAACCAACTTTTCTCTAATGTGGGAGCCATATGCTGGGACCCAACTCTCTGGGGCAACCAGAACAGTTACACACGCTGCCTGTACAAACAATTAACTTGTGCTGCCTTCACTCTCTGTTTAGGTCTGGTATCTTTAAAAAATAAAAAGTCCTCCAAGATACACAGAGAAATAATTATTTCACTGAAACTCCTCAGACACTTTTCTTTCTTCTGATGCAGTTTAAAACACAAATTGGAGGTATGTCCTTCCAGACATGTGAGAACTGACAGCTAAATACATGCCTGCTGCTGGGTGGTGTGTGTAAGAATCTCACTGTAGGATTATTGGAAAACATTTATTTGGTAACAGCAGATGTGATGTGTGAGACTTCTTGGAATGCTAAATTGCAATTGGGGACCATTGTAGTTGGAGGAGAAATGGGCATTTCTGGATGTTTCTCAGGAGAAGTAATCATATACTTGGTTCTGTGTAGAAAGAAGAAAGTTCATCACTGCGATATATTTCTAATAACTTCAACACTCATCCAGAGCCTCCTCATCTCAGCCCATTTCAGCTGCCTAAAGATAGAAATGGCGAGCCTTCAGTAGTATGTTTATCACAGAAAGTCTGTTTCCAAAGGAATTAACAGATATGAAATAAGTCAAATTAATCAGTGCGCAGTGTCTGGGTGCCTGTACTCCAGCATTCACGCTCAGGGTTGATGGTAGCCACCTGAACCAGAGCCAGATGTGCAACTTCTGCTGAAATCCGGATTTACAGCCAGCTTTCCCACTAGTGCAATAATGCTCCAATACTCCTTGATTTCTAATGGGTTTTGCTCTGGCCTGTGAGCGTGTCGTTATCTGTACAGTTTGGCTCTGGATCCTGATTTCCCAGCAGTTAGGATTTGGTTCTGTGGTGGGTTCAGGATCTGGTTCAAGTCCATTCCTATTGCTGAATGGACACGATTTCTGCTTCCTCTCGCTGCGCCGTTTCACTCGTTCCATTAGGCAGAGAAGGAATTAATCAAAAGCAGCACTCTTTCTGATTTGAGAATCTCTCTCTGATTACATGTATGTATTATTATCATAGTATTATGTCTTTTCTTTCCTTTGTTCTTTGTCACGATTTTGAGTACATGACCATGACTGCTAGACAGGCATCTTAAAAAAAAATGGATGTCTTTATATTTCTTCATTTTACTGTTCAGATGAACCTGTCTTCTAAAAACCAGATTTATGAAACGAATACCTGTAATAACAACTGCAAAAATTCTTCTCTGGACATTTTGCATTACTGGCTTGAAATTATGCTTTGGAAAAAAAATAAATAAATTGCCAGTACATTTATTTTTAAAGTAAGAAACATTTTCTCAATGGACGCGGTTGGACAAGAAATAAAATACAGAAGGGACAGAAGTTGAACTTTTGTTTGAATAGGAATAAAATTAAGAGTGTATTTATAGGATTTTGTTTTATCCCCCCATCTCTAGAAGCCAGGCATCTGATGATAACCAGATGCTGAGAAGAACAGCAGAAGTGAGGGGCAATATCTTCATCAGACTATTTGAAAATGACTGTGTATAATTACCAACACAAACTATCCATTGATTTTCCTTCCCCCCCCCAAAAAAAAACCAACAAAAAAAACTGTCAAAATAAATAAGATTCTGCCACTTTTGGAGAAAAAGATTTAGAGGGGGAAAACTTGTGTAAACAGAAATTTTTGGAACTCTTCAGATGGAAAAAATATCAAAGAAACCACAGTCACTGGATTAAAAGTACATATTTATCTTGGGAATAAGTTTATCATATTTTTATGTACTAAAAAACAGCATCTCAATATAATTCAGTATTGCTGCTGTTCCATAGAGCACTATACACAGTTGGAAAAATAAGAAGAATGTTCTGACACTTTAGAGCTTTTTGGAAAACCTAAATTTGAGTGGAAAGATCTGCATCTTGACATGCTGTTGAAAGCATGCTGACATGCTTTCCTGGTGCTAAATGAAAAAAAAAAAAAAGGGCCAATAAAACTAACAAAACAAAACCCAATAACTTGTAATGCAAATGATATTTTCTTACGCTTTACCAGACTTGAGATTTCAGAAGAATTTATTCAGTTCTACTGTTGTAAAAAGCCACAAGCATGTTTTAACACAGGGATCTGATGCAGGGTGATTCCACGTTGCAGTAGGTGTATCAGTGTTTGTTCCTGCCATTGCAAGGTGCTTCATACCAAAAATGTCCAATGGGTAAAAATGATTTTGCTGTTCAAGCCAACTGCAACCAGCTTCCTGTAACTGGAGTTTGTCTAAGGTTTAGGGATAAAGGAGACTAAATGGCAAATTACTACGTAAAGAAAGATGCGGTGAAGAGATAGAAGAATTTGGGAAGTATTTCCAGTGGCAACTCATAAATATAATTCAGTCTTACTGTGAAAAATTGTTTTCCTCTTTTTGCTCTTCTACCAGCTTTGTGTATTGCAGTGCAAACGTCAGGCGTTCTTTCTCTTCATTTGCAGGATCAGCTTTTACAACATCTGATAACCTGTCCCTCAGTTCCTGGGTCTCCTCTTCAACCAGTTTTCCTGGATTTCAGCATCCCCAGTCTTTGAGCGCCCTGGGTACCAGCACTGCATCCATTGCTACGCCTATTCCTCATCCAATCCAAGGATCCTTGCCTCCCTACAGCCGCTTGGGAATGCCTCTAACGCCCTCTGCGATAGCCAGCTCCATGCAAGGTACTGGCCCCACTTTCCCTTCTTTCCACATGCCAAGGTACCACCATTACTTTCAGCAGGGTCCTTATGCAGCCATCCAGGGACTGCGTCACTCCTCCGCAGTCATGACACCGTTTGTATGACTGATGTAAGATGACAGAAGCATAAGATTTTAAATGTGCGAGCTTGGTATGAAAAAATATAAGGGACCTTCTCAAAAGGCCTGCGGTGGGAGACTGCTGAACTCAAACCAGCTAAGAAAATGCTTTGTGGAGATTGATTCCTCCATTGAGGGATCACAAGAAGAGAGCACGCAGCTTGGAGCTGCTCACAGACCTATGTGTAACACAGTCAAAACAGATCCCAGAGTTCCCAGGATTTCTGGTCATGTGCAGGTTGTTCCAAAGGTTCGTTAAGCCTCGTGGAAAGAGACTATGTTTATGCAGCAGTGTACAAATTAATTGTGTATAAGTCTTTTTCTGTATGCTAGAAGGATTCTGAAAAAGGCAATACTCTTATTCATCCTCACCTCTTCTTGTGACTAATGAGCATCTAAACAGAAAAATGTATCCCTGTAACTTTGAGCATGTTTTAGGCTATGGGAATAGGAATGGGACAAAGTGGAGAAAGGCCACTGTCCTTTTTAAAAGTCTGGCTTTTATTCACCAAGAGCAGTATTTTATAATTGCTTCTATAATCTCATAGAGAAAATCATTAGCAAGTATTTATTTCTTTCTTTGATCTTTCGTTGTTTCTTTCACAAAACACTTAACAGTTCTGAGAAGAACTGTGTTACAGGCCGGAAGCAGTGATGATGCATTCTGTTCTGCTTCTCTCATATCCTAGGAGGAGCAATTTAGCAGATATGATGAAGGAAAACACTGAGTTTTAGAAAATCTGTTGCTTTTAAACTTAGAAACTCAAGACACTAAATTTTTAAGCCAAAGCTATTGTTTGCTGCTGTGCTTGCCATTCGTCCAGCTGCAAAAGAGTACCATTATTTAGCAGTATTTCAGGTTAGATCAGTCTATATCTAGACTCTAGATCAATAATCAGTAGATTCATACAAAAATAACAGTATCTTGGAGTGTCTTTCTACTTACTCTGTTTTCTTGGGTATGGTCATAGGTGTTGCTAGACAAGCTGTTTGGCCAAGACACAAGAGTTGTACTTTTGAGTTTTTCAAGTCCCAGTTTCCTTGGGAAAATATCATTGACGAGGTTTGCCTATAATTTTTTTTTTATTCACATCTGCCTTATTTTAGTTAGTGAGAAGAGTTCTCACTGAAAATACTGCCTGCTTTTTCTAGTACGTTGTGTTTGAGGCAACAGAAGATCTGTGGATTCATAGGAAAAAATGACCTCTGCAGAGAGCTAGCATGAATCCTTTGCACTGTTGAAAAGAGAACTGGTGTGATGCTGGTTTTCTGCCTGTAAATAAGTCAACACAGACTTTCTGTGTGTTGTTGCATCCAAGTTGTAGTGGTAACATCTATTAGTAAAAAAAGGACTTGCAATTCAATCTTACATAATAAAAGATTAGTGTAGAGTTGGAACAGATAGAAAGGCATTTTGGCACTATTCTCCTCTACTCTTGACCAGTGGATGTTGGTGACATAAAATGAGAAGTATAGTGCAGTCCACTGAGTGAAGTGCAGGGCAGGTCACCAGCTTCTGTTGTTGTCCCAGTGCCTCATCATACCAGCTTGGTCACAGACAGCAGTGACAACATCCCAGACTTTTCCCAGCTTCTATTATAGGCCAGTGCATACATTGAAAGATAAAGACCATCTATGTATTTTCCAGTAGTTGAATTTAACATCTCTCAAATGGGCCATTACAATCACCTTAGTCATTTGCTGTATCATCCTAATTTTCCCTTTACTCACTGTTGGGCATGCTAATAAAAAATGACCTGGGAAAAATCGGCAACTTTTGTGCTCTGCACATGAGTGAAACCAAACCTCTATTTGCAGTCTCTGGGTTTAGCACTACTACAAGCAGGTCTGTAAAAACATGAGCCAACCTCTGCAGTTTTTAAGTGGCTTAGAATCAGACACTGACTAAATTGTCTTGATATATCTAAACATTACATTTTGCTATAGATTCATCTGGAAAGTGCACTTTGCAAGGTTGTGCGTGCTCATGGCCTGTTCTAACATAATAATACTATTTTTCATGAAATTGCATGATACTGAAAAAATCTAGATTATACTAGAAGAGTGCTGCAAGAAAATACCTCCTTAAGTAAATATCCAATTCTACAGACATAAAAATTTCAGGGGAGATTTGGAAGGAAACTTTAATGTCTCTTCTTCAGCTGCTTGACTTCTGTTTAAAAAAACAAACAAAAAAAAGCACACAGCTGTACAAAGGTCCTGTGGTGAAGTTCTTTAAAGCCTGTGGGGAAGTTCTGTTTCTCATATCTATTTCCTTTTGCAGCTCCATTAACTTATCTGAAGCTGCAGTGAATACGGTTAGGTCCAGAAATCAAACCAGTAGCTTTAATCCTGATACTCATGCTAGAAAGGGGTCAAGTAGGAGGAAGGCAGCTTTCTCATGGCTTCAGAAATAAGTTTGCAACAGGTAAGTTGGTTTAGGCAAGCTGTTGAAGTTATCTAAAGACTGCCCATACGTTGACCTCCCCTTCCTTTGTGAGTCAAATTTGGAGAAATAAACTGTACAATTTTCAGCCCTTCTCCAATCTCAGTTCTAAAAACACCAATATTTGGCATGTAAAAATTCCCCTGGTTCTGCTTCAGAGAAAATGCTCCAGGTTCTTCTTGAAGGAATGAAACCCGATTTTGACATCATTTACAAAAATAATGAAAAGCATTTGTCTTTCATTTGGTATAAGTGTTGCATACCTGAAAAAGATGGCAGTAGACTTCCCCTGTATAAAAACCGGGTAAGGCCAACACCTTCCAGATTTTCTGTGATGAGGTTTACTTTGGAGATGACCAAGAAAGATTTCTGCAGAATTATCTGTCAAATCCACAGCCTGATTTTCCCAGTCAGGTCAAGGCTCAGGACCTTCTCTCCACCTAATTTCTTCGCACCCTTCCGTGGGCAGCAGGAGAGTGATTCCACCATGAAATTCCTGCTCCTCTTTAGTGAGAAATTTCTTGACTGTAAGCAAGACAGGATTTCATTCATATTTACATTCTTTCCTAAAAACAAAGTCTGTCTGCATGGATGGTGGTTATGATAGCAGCAATACAGGAACTTTGCAGAGCAGACTGAAAAACAGCTATCAGTCAGCTTCAGCACTGAGTGCATAACTGAAAAAAACATGAATGTAAATGTGTCATTAATTGGTTAAAGAAGAAAACAGTTTTGCTTCAAATTGCACTACTTTCAACATAACTCAGTAATTTATTGAAGGAATTGCTGTACTGCTGTCACAATTCTATCACTTTCAGGATAGAACATCTGTTGCTGGTAGATGTTCTAGGAATGCCAAATGTAATCTAGAGTTTATTTTCCAATATAATTCATGTTTTATATCCCATGAGAAGTGCTCTTCACCTTTACGAGCTATCTTGGCTGAGCAAACTGGTGCTGCTTAGTGGTTCTTTTCTTTATTATTGTTTTATTGAAGAAGGGTGGAGAGAACATGCCTGAATGTGCTTTTCATAAAGCATGATAAGATTACCTTCCAAAGTGTTAAAAGTACTTTTGGGTGTTTTCTGGATTACCCTTTTATCCAAAGACAGTTAACAGCCTTAGGTCTTTTATCCAACAAAAGCACCCCAAGACTAACAGAACTGACATAAACATGTTCTATACATATTTTTTTTCTTCTAGTTTTGGAGCTAGAAATTTGGCTGTTTGTTTTGTGGTGCTGGTTTACGTGGCCCGAGGAACTCTAAAAGATAAAAATTCAGTCCTGCTGGTTTCAGGGTACTCTCCAGATAGAAACAGGCAAACAGGCACACACTAAGTGGATAAAGGTGCAGTTTTTAATGGAAATGCTTCTTTACGAGCTCAGCTACAGTGTGCTGTATGATACCTAACATCATCGTAGTGCAGCCTAAAAAATGCAATGGAAAAATCTTCCCCAGAAGGCTTCATTCTTGGATAAAGGATACACACATGCAGTGTGCACCTGAAGGTTGTGACACATTACAAACAGGTATTCCTGTGAAGGTGGTGCAGCTTCCAGCATCCAACAAACATTAATCGGTATTTGAAAACCAATCTCTTCTGAATTGAAAAAAGCTTGGGCTGGCAACTTGATTATATGCTACATCCTCTGTATGCACGTGGATGCCATAAAGAAACAGAAACATCAATGAAAAATATTGCAAAAACATGGGGAGCTTTCCAAAACTGGAAGGTAATGAAGCTGTGGTAATTCCTTCCTGGATAAGGAGTAGAGAGACGGTGAGATCAGTGTAACGTTTTGGGCTCCTTATCTGGAAGGAAGTCTTGGCCTCAGAGCTTTATGCTCATCATCTGCAGAGGGGTGATGTTCACTCACTGCAAGACAGTGTTTCATTTTGCTGAGATGTTTTTCTCACCGTTCCTTACAGAGTGCTTTCTGCTGCAGAAGATGTGGTTTCTGTACTATTTACTTGCTGGCCAGAGGGTTTATGTACTGACTCTGTGATAAACTGTCCCCAAATATAGTCTTTAGTTTATAACATAACAACTTCCTTTCCTTTATCCTCCTAAAAGAAACTAAGCAGCGATTTAAATAAACTTTGAATTAACTTCTTATAATACTTTAAGGACAAAAAATACAGTTTGCTGTATTTTACCTTTAGCACATTTAAACAACTTTTTTTTTCTTCTTTGTTTTTTTTTTTTCCAATTGTACCTTCAGAAACATGAGGAAAGATTTGTTTTAAAAGTAAGGAAGGTAAAAACTGGATGTAATCTCTTTAACAGAATGTACCACAGTTCTGCTGTTTGCTGTGTTGACTTTGCTGTTTATGATGCGTTGCGTGAGCACATTCACCATGTACTGAAGTGTGTGTTTGTGTGTACAGGGTGGGAGGGGGAAATCTTTTTATGGAAAAAGAAGTTATGGACATAAACTATGAAGCAACATCTAATGAAAAGTTTCTTTTTAAGTGCAATATATTTATTTCTGCTAGAAATATAATATCAACATTATGTAATATTTGAAGCATTAAATGTTATTTGTAAACAGCTTAAAATTATATATATATATATATCACCAAATTGTACAGAAGTGCAAATGTGTGGATATTCAGTTTCTTTCATTAAAATATTGGGTGTTTTGATATATCATTCTTATTTAGCCAAAGCCTTCTGCCTCTGTTCTTTTCCCTCTAACTGTGACACTAAGTGCAGTGGAACAAACAACAGATTTTTCACACAGAATTTGGAAGGTTGCAAAAGTTTGTCTCACTCCTAAATCCAACACGTGGAGGATTGTTGTACAGTAGTTAACTATAGCTGTAGTTTGCATATTGTTATAGAAATAGTTCTTTCAAAGGGCCCTGTCTTTATATTCAGAGAAATTGCTATTTTAGCCACTGGAGTACAACTAAATAGTTGAAATATGGGGATCCCAGGATTCCCAATAGACAGAGACATAGAAAACACTCTCTGAGAAGAAAATTGAAAAGAATTTGGTCTGTTTAGCCTGGAAAAGTTAGAACAACGGGAAGATGTGATAAAGTTTTCAACTGTA